TATTAAATAATTGTTTAGGAAATTATTCATTATGTATAAATCATTATAATCAAGTTGTTGCTACTGACAATTTTTATCAGAATCTTTTAAATTCAGATCTAAGTTCAGACATATGTTTAACTCAAAAAAATAAAAGGTTTTGACAAGATATACTGGAGACAGGTTCTAGTAATAGTGCAGGCAAAAATTGTGATGGAGATAAAGTCACTGATGATGAATCTAATATTTTGGGGGAACTTCAGAAAACAAAGGATTTGCTCAAAATATGTCAATTAGATTGTCAGCAAAAAACACAATGTATTATAGATCTTAATAACAAAATTTCACAACAGCAGCATCTATTAGAAGTTCAAAAGCTTGAAATTGAAGGATTGAAACAAAAGCTAATTGATTCTTATAATCAATTAATTAAAGTTCAGGATGAAAACAATACCCTTTCTAAGCAGTGGGATTCACGTTTTAGTAGTCAGCAAAAACATATAGATGCTGCTAGGGAAATTGCGTGAATCAATGTATGATGATATTGAAATATTCATTAAGAACAATAATAGATTTTCTTTAGATAACCTTATAAACTATTCCCCACAAATTTGGCTAAGCAAACATAATCAGGTTCTTGTTAAGTTCATCGAGACCTTAACATACAATAACAATAATCCTGATGACTTAAGTCAAGAAAAGATTTTTAAAAGAGCAGTTGCTGTAGATGCAATATATGGGACACGCCATGGGAAGTATGTATCAGAAGTGAATCTTGTAGCATCTGCAATTAAATATTCATTAGCACAATCTAAAAAAGTTATAAACATAGACAATCATATAACAAGTGGAGGTGGTTATTCATACTTTCAAAAATGGTTAGAAGATTTATCAGATGAAGAAGAACCATTACCTGATGGATTTTTATTTATAGCTTTTGATAATGAACAGAGAGGTCAAAAGAATTATCTGGACACTGTAATTTATCATGTTGTAACTAGCTTTGTAGCCTTTAATATGGAGTCTAGTTATCAAGTGCAGCATATAAATAGTCCTTGGGTATATGATAATCTTAATAAACAGCAATACAAAGAACTTTTTGAACTTTCACCTGGAATGCAAGAGGAAATTGATAAAGAGTTATTTACCTATCTTTCAGAAATCCTTGGTCAATTGAACAAAGAAAAATTAAGTTCTACCAATGTAATCAATACTCTTATGACAAATAGAGCATCAAAAAATGGATTTGATAAATACTGCTCTAACTGCAATGAATACAATATAGAAAACAAAAAACAATGTTGTCCAAAATGTAAATCTAAATTACCTACATCGGGAGAATTAAGAAAGCTTAATATAGCTGAAGAAATTAACTCACCAGATGATTCTAAAAAGCCTTCTGTCTTTAAACCTCATTATGTAGAAAGTGAATCAAATGTGCAATCTATTTCAAGAATTAGCATCACACAACAATTAGCTGCTGATCCAGGTGTCAAAGTTCCTGATATTTATATTCCTGATCCTTTAAATATAAATCCCAATTCAATAGCAAATGTTGAAAAAATCCTCTTTCATATAGAAAAAATTGCAGGTATTAAAGAAGGATGGCATAAATGGGTAGTGGTTGTATGTGATGGTATTCCATATCACCATGCAACTAAAATAAAAAATAAATTCCCTTGGTTAATTATTTTACCTGGTCCATTACATGAAGAGATGAATATGCTTCGGGCATATGTTGAATTGAATTGGTAAATGATAGTTTCTTTTTTTTTTTTTTAAAAATTATTTTTCATTATTCCCAAAGCTTAAAATTTATTAAATTAGGGAGGTTGACCTTAAACAGTTTGCTATATGTCAAGGTTATAGAAAGGAAAGTCAGCTTACATATTTTAAAAAATGTTATGATCATCACAAATCATGGGATTCAATTTGCAACATTTACTGTCAAGCAATGTCATTAGAACTTATGTGGCCATATGTAAAAAACCATGCTAGTCCAACTGTTGAAGGTTACCTTTCCTGGGCTAAAGAACAAAAGGATCCATTTTATCAATTTAAATATGAACAAGTAAAAAAAATTGTTATTTGATTATGATTAATTTATTTATTAATACTTTATTCATTAATAATTTTATTCCAATTGTTTAAATAGATATTTGTCTATTTACAAGCAATTGTTAATTTTAGAATTGCTGTGAGGACTAACAGACCTAAACTGAAAAGTGCAGCAAGAAGAACATTTTCACCTATTTGGTCTGCACGAAGGCATCCAATTTATAGATTGATTGAAGTTTCAGATGAAGTACAATTAATGAAACTTCATCCAACTATACGTGATATAATAGAACAAAATTGTGTAGTATCTTGTTCAGGGTTGTATAACCAACACCAGGGAATGGATGCTGTTTTAGAGGAGATAAACAAGACTTTGAAAAGTCTAATACCTCCCTGTTCCCCAACTAAAACATTTAATTTACTATTTATTTACATTAAAATTTAGCTATGAAATAATTTTTTTAAAACAATTGGATTCAATGATACACATTCAAACAGTCCAAGAACTCGTCCTGAATCAATTACAGAATGCCAGAAATTTCATGTTCATCTGAGAAGTTTTATTAATCCAGAGGAAATTAATTGGAAAAGCTTAGATGGAGAATATGAGCTAAGTGAACAGTTAAAAAATTTTAGTGAAATAGCTAAAAAAGCTAGGCAAGAATATATTATGGAGGTATTTTATAAGAATAACCCAGCTTCTTTATTTAGACTTATTCCAATAACAAAACAGGAATCAATTGCTCAAGAAAATGAAACCCAAATGACAAAAGCAGAAATATTATTAAAGGTAGAATCACTCCTTGAGCAAATGAATGAGAGTGTTCAAAAAAAATATCATGGATTAAAATCAAGAAGTCGAAATGAATTATTAACTATATTACAAGAGGTAAGATATTTACTTAATAATGAAATTAATGATGGTGATCCTTCAGAGAGTTCAAAAACAATACAGCATAAATGAATTTAACTTGATTAATAAGGTAATTTTAAGCAAGTAAAAAAAATATATTTTGAATTTAATGTCAATGATTTATAATAATATTATACTACTGCATTACAACTTTAATAACTGCAGAATTAATAAAAATATGAGCACAATTTTTTTTGTTTTGAAAAATTATTTAAGTTTCTTTTGCCAATGTATATTTATTATAAAAATAAAAATAAAATTCTGTGTATATATATATACAGTCGAACCCTCGTTTCAACGGACCTCGTTTCAACGGATTTTTGTTTCAACGGATTTTTGTTTTTACCCCTTGATTTTATTAATTAAAAAATTCTCGTTTCAACGGATTTTATATTTAAA